CTTCCATTTTACACAGGAAATTTTCTTAATCCTTCAATCCCAACCAAAAGCTATCCACACCAGAGTGACATTCAATATGATAAACATTATGGTTTCTGTTTGGAGGCTCAACGTCCACCAAACGCTATAAACATTCCTGGATGGGATAAATACGTTATTTTGCGTCGAAATCAAACTTATATACAAACAACTGTTTATGCATTTAAAAACGATGCTAACTAATGTTGGTAATCCGATAAAATGGATATGATGATTAATCAAAGCTATATTTGGATGATTGGTTTCTACTTTTATATTTCTCAAGCCTGTTGATTCTCAACGAGAAATAATTTTTCTACTCAACCTTTTGAGGAGAAAAATTTTCTCCGTCTAAATGAAAACAACAAAACTTGCTTATCATAAATTATCATAACAATGGCTTTTAATGAAATATTTATTTCTTCAACCTTTCAATGCATTTTATGATTTGTTATGATATCCTGAATCTTGTTATAAACAGTTTTATTGAAGTTTCTGTGAATTTCAATGAAAAGAAAAAGATGGAAATGATAATGATAAGGAAAATATAAATGTAATCACTTGTTTTTATATTTTGTGTAGGTTTATAATTTTTGGTGGCTTTGAATTTATTTTATCATTTCCTTTCAATAAATGATGTACTCTAGCTTTCATTTTTGATTGATTTTTGTTACATTGACTGAAAACCATTATTATTATCAATTATTATTAAAATTCAAGGCTAAATCAAATCAGCATTAAGATGGATGTTTGACAGTCGAAGAGATATTCATGTGAACAGTGAAAAGATTTAAGATTCAATTTAATTGAAAATTTCACTCATTTTATTCGAACATTTTTAAGTTATTTTTGATTATTTTCAATGAAATTTTCTATTTTTCGGACAACATTCTCTTTGTTTTTCAGTGCTTTCATAGAAGCAGATATTTTGGCAATTTTCTCAGCATATGATGGGTTCGATAATGTTTCTTCAATAGTGTTTAAAACTTTAAATTCTTCAATTTCATAAAGATTGATTCGAGAACCAATTCCACAATCAACAGCTCGTTGAGCATTATCAGGTTGATCCATGAAAAAAG